TTTATGAAGCATTACCCGCAGTTACTAATTAAAGTAACCCGTATTCTGCAGAGAAAGGACATGTCCACTAAAGGACATACTTACTCACCACAAAGAACACAGTAAACTGCTCACAACTCTTTATTGAACATTGTGTGTCTTGGGGAATTAAACAAGCAAACCAAAAGAAAATAAATAAAAAATTACCAGACTGAAGAAACATTCAGGACAAGTCAAAGAAAAAACAAAAAAGAAATTTCCTAATCCCAGGAGCCTTCTGCCTAAGTATACAAGTATTCTACGTATACCTTGGAAGTTCCTCACAAGACCAGATGTCTCGAGCAGGTAAAAGTTTAAAGATAATGAAGTGAGACATGGGACAGAGGCCCTACCACGTGTCACTGATTATCAGGGCATTTTGAGAGCAACTTAAAAGATCAAATCAAGGACTAGTATTCCTTTTGAAAATACGTTTGGAATACCTGTGGAATATCTTTTATACAGCACTACGATTTCCAAGTTAAACATCTATGTGGACTTAACTGACACTATCCCTGAAACACCTTCAAATAAGCCACTTTTATACTTTGCTCCAAAAAGAACTTGAGGTAGGAACAACAGCAGTAAAATCCCTGATTTTCAATACCAGAAAAAAATCAAATATTGCACAAATTCAAATTCAGCAGCAGCTAGGGTTTGTTATCTCTCATTTTTCTTTTGATCTTAGAAATTTCTATTTTGTGTTCTCTAAAGAAGCGGTGAGACATAAAACTTTAAAGCACACATTTTTAACAGAACTTGTTAACAATGTCACTTCATGCTATAAAAATGCAGAATTGACATTTTCAGTAACTTGTAAATTACAAAAGCAAATATAATCATGTCCCTTGGTGAGTATCCCAGCTTGCTGTATTTTTCAGAAATACATGTTTAACCGTCCTTAAGGAATTGTGAATTTTAAATACTAGAATTTATGTTTTCAGTTGTAGTTCCAGGAAAATAGAACTATGGACGCTTTCTGACATTAAGAAATCAATGTGGACTTTTTTTAACTTTCATCATTTATTAACTGACACATTTTTAAATACTAATCATATGCATTCTACTAATTTTTAACTACCCGGGATGTCGCGTTTCTATCTCATTCCACAGCTGCACTGCTTTTATTTCTTGTGGCACAGAAATGGTCTCTGAACGAAGTCCTGTTATTTCAGCGCTTTTCGCAAAATACAACACTTCAACCTGAAAGGAAAGGAAACGCTTTTAATAACAACCCATTGTTTGGCTCAGTTGGTTAAGAGCTCGCTCAAGAGTTTGAGCTCTGAGCAACAGCGGTTCGAGTCAGCCCGAGCTGAGCAGTCGCTGAGCTGCCAACAGGTGGCAGGATGGCTCAGCTAAAAAAACAAAATAAAACACAAAAACCCATTGTCCTTTTCTGATGGTCCACGCTGAGTTTTCTTGTTTTCTAAATGCATTACTTTAATCAAAGACAAATTTTATAAGTTAAAGACAATTAAATCGCCCATGGGAATTTCAGTATATCTACAAGTTCAAATTTTGAAAAATACTTATGTTTTAAGCACAATTCTGACTAAGTTTCTGGATGCTTTTTAGTTTTACAAATGTAAGTGTGCCACAACTAAAATCCTAACAATATACTCTTAGAAACCATGAAGTCGATCTTGAGTTGACATAAAATTCTAGCATCTTTTATAAACACTTAAACAGTGAACAAACGTGAGTAAAGAGGTGAATGACACAAATAAAATGACCAAAAAAAAACTTTAAAACACGTCTTTCACGGTTATCGCATGACCTTTGAATCTAGTCTACATGACACTGAACCCAGCTGCCGAGGGTTAAGTTATGTAACAAACCCCGACATTTGTAAAAGCAGGTGGGTTTGAAATACAGGATAAACTGGTAGTCCTTAAAACAAACCTATGCAGTCAGCCTGGTACCGAAGGGATCTGACCAAGTACAGCAACCCACTTGCCACTCAGGGAAAATTGTTCTTTACGAAATAACCAGAGGTTGCAAATCATCAAGGGTTTACAAACACACGCACAGATGAAGCACGCGCCACAAGAATTCTTAGTTAAGCGCGTATCTTTTTAAATTGAAAACTTGTCTTCGTCGAAACGAATAATCTGAGGACCAAGAGCAAAGGTCGACAGGGTGCCTTCGGAAACCAGCTTTGACGCCGTCACCCGAACACTAGGAATTGGGGAAGTGGACTTGACCTCGGCTGGGGCTGCCGGAGCCAAGCAGTGGCCCCCAGACCTAAGGCACCGGCTGAAGTGCCTGTTCGGGGGAGGAGGACTCCAGCCGAGCAGGGCTGAGTCTGGGGAGGGAAGGAGCGGGCAGTGGGGCAGACAGGTAGGGAGGGTGCCCGACCTTTACCTGGCACCGCGGAACCATCCCTCCGGAGCTCGCCGAGCCTGTATCCCGGCCGGGGAGGCGGAGACGCTAGGCTGACTCAGAGCGCAGGCGCAATCTGACGGGTCCTTCCGCCCTCATGGGGCATGCGCAGAACTAGCTCCGCCCCGCTGTTCTCGCCGCTGGGCTCGGACTGCGGGCGGCTCGGTGAGAAGCTGCTTTCCCTCGCGAGTCGGTTGCGGTGGCGACCCTGAGCTAAAGTTGTCGCTCAATGGGAAATGGGCTGGCCATGCATGCCAGTCGCCTCAGACGACAAGCGGAGGTATGGGAGAGGAGACGCCGGACTCTGCGAGACACTGGCTACCTGCGTTATGGAAGTTGGGCTTTTCCACTCGCTCACCTTTAGGCTTTTCTTTAACACTTTTTTTGTTTTTGTTTTTAATCTACCCTGCCATCCGGTATTTCATTACTGTTCTTTAAAGACTTAGAGCATTCAACTAATCAGTGCATTCGAAAAATTTACATTTTTCCTGTAATTTGTCCTCAAACTACCACCCAACCTTTCCAACTTTTTACCAACAAGAAGCCTGTTTGAAATTGCTTTTGCATCCTTATGTGGATATAAACTAAGCGTCCCTTCTCTTGGAGCTCATAGTAGTAGACGTGAGACCGTCATAACCCATTCATGGTAACTTGGTGCACCAAATGTCATACAAGGGATACACGATACATTTCATGAGGGCAGAAGGGAAAATGGAGGGTCACCTGAGAAGTGTGTTCTAGGAAGTCTTCACTGAGGAGACGTTTGCGCTAAATCTACTAGAATGAGTAGCAGCAATTGATAGAGTGAGGGTAGGGATGAGAGAATTTCACTAGCCTGTGTCCAGCCAGAGGGATATGAAGCACCATGAGGTCACAGAAGGGCAAATAGTTGGCAAGGCCTGTGTGCCCCTTGCAAGGAAGTAGTGGAAGATGAGGCTGGAGATGTCTGGTAGTAACTCATGGCAAGAAAAATTAATAGGTACTGACTAACACCAACATGTATTCTGGTAAAGTTCCTAAACATCAAGGATAAAGAATTATATTCATATTTGAACAGAAAAATGGGAATGATGACAATGGCCTTAGACTTGTCCATGACATCCAATGCCAGATGAAGGCGGTGTGCAGTATTTAAAAGGCTGAGAACAAAAACATGACCCAACATGTTACGTACAGCCAAGCTGGTGCTCATAAAGGCCAAAGCCTGACACTCCTCAACCTGCAAAAACTCAATAAGTGCAATGCTCAAGAGTCCTTAAAAAATCTCCTTGGGCAAAAATCCAGTCAATCAAGAGAGTAACCAAACTAAAAAAACTCAGTAATAAAGAAGTTAATGGTAAAAACATAATAAAATGGAGGTGAGATTATAATCCATTTATGTATAAAACAAAAACATTAATTGTGTGATTATGGCTATGAAATACGAGTAAAATGTAAATAATATCAGAATATTTTTTAAAAACAAAAGAAACTGCCCAAAATTGAACATGTAGTTACAAAACATCTATTCAAGCCTCAATATTTTTCACAATCTTCTTTCTTAATTTTAGAAGGTGTTAGGGGCAACTATGTTTTGTGACTAAAAATGTGATGATTTCTAATTCCTTCAGTTTCACTTATTTTATTGTTACATTCAAGTAACAATAAATTAAAATCTAAAAAATAAAAATAGTATTACATTTAAAAAAAATTATATCTATGTCCGATCAGAATGGCTATCATCAATAAATCAACAAACAACAAGTGCTGGCGAGGCTGTGGAGAAAAGGGAACCCTGGTGCACTGTTGGTGGGACTGCAGATNTTCCCAAATAAAATTGAGATACATATCTAACAAGGAATTCTATAATTTCCAAATAGTAGGACTAAGGAAGATCCAAACTCTGTGGACATGCTGGGCAATTGGCTTTGCAATATTTATTCTTTGCTTTTTGGGGCACTGCCCCCCAGAAGAGTACAGGAAAAAAATCCTTGGCTTGTTCCTTTCTAGAATGAAACCAAAGTTTTACCATTGAACATGATATTTACTCTTGATTCCAGAAAAAAAAACTTATCAAATTAAGAAAGTTTCCTTTTATTCCTAACTTACCAAGAGTTAATTATACATGATTGTTAATTTTTACATTATTTATTCTTCAGTTGACAAAAAAATGAAGCCTCATTCTGTCTCTCCAGAATATACAGAGAAATGTTCTTACACATGATCCTACTCAGGTATGGACTATGTTGTTTGGAAAGATGGAGAGATACGGGTCCTACAGCCACCTGAGACACCTGAGCTGTAATGATGAAGCTGTTTCTTTATCTACCTGGAAAATGGAAAGCTTTCTTTTTAGGCACAGTCATCTTTTTATTTTCCAGCTATGCAATTTTTCTACATTTCTCTGTGCCCAGGCGAGCTATTATCCAGTATCAGTAAGCATATTTGTGAAAAAGTACACAAGGAGTTCAATAATTTGAATTCAAATGTTGGCTCTGCCACTTTGTAGCTATGTGATCAGACAAGTTTTGAACTTCTCTGAGTTTCAGTTTTCCCTCCTGCAAAATAGGGATATTAATGCTCCAGCGTCCGGCACTGTGCCTGGCATGTAATAACAGCTCAGTAAACCATGTTAAGTGAATAGGATGAAATATCAAACTGCTTACAACAGAATCCATGCAGAGATGATAGGTAGGTGTTTATAAGTCTGTCTGCACCAATAAAGAATTGCTGCTTGAATAAAGAGCTGGTGCAGACAGACTTACAAAGAATACACTGTTAAAGTAAACCATACACAAGTTATTCATCTGTGTGATCCTTNCAGGGTCCTTAGGGTCCTTGAGAGAAGGAAAGCACATGTGGTGAGCCTCACCCTCATTCCAGCTTTTTTTTTTTTTTTTGAGGGCATTTTCCAAAGCCTGACACAGAAAGAGCTCAAGAAGAGAGCAAGCAGATCAAAAAGAAAAGAATGGAGAAAGATACACTGTGAAAACACTAACCAAAAGAAAGAACAAAATAGATTTTAAGGCAAGAAGTGTTATAAGATATGAAGAAGGATATTACATCACAATAAAAAGGTCAATTCAAGAGAAAGGTTTAACAATCCTGAATTAGTATATACCAAATAACATAGCTTTAAAATACATAAAGCAAATATCAACCAAACTAAAAATAAAGGTAGACAAATCCACAATCATAGTTGGGGATCTTAACACATGTCTATCAATAACTAATAGACAAGCAGACAAAATCAGGAGACATATAAAAGATTGGATACAACAATTAATCAATTTGATCTAATTGATACATAAAATACTAACTATATCCAACAACTGCCTAGTTCTAGATTGACAATTTTTTTCTTTAGGGACTTTGAATATGTTTCTCCATGGCATTCTAGTATTCGTTGTCTATTACCTTATCTTTGTTCCTCTGTACATAATGTCTTTTTTAAGGTTTTCTCAGTGTTCTGAGAATGGCGTTTCACATATGTAGTCCAATTGTTTAGCTATTTCAATTGGAAGGGTAAATCTGGTCCATATTACTCTATCTTAGCCAGAAAGAGAGGCTTTTTCCATAGAATTTTGGAATATGAGAATAAGCCAGAGAGATATATTCTGGTTTGTTTTTTGGGCATAAGAGGCTGGCTGCCTGGAGTTCTGTGCATACCGAGAATGGTGGCTGGCAATTTAGGGGTCAACGTTTCTAAGTATAGATTTTAATTTAAAACTCTTGCTTTTGCTGTGTTCTCGTTTCCACACACACCATTGTGCTTTTTCTCNTTTTTAAATTTCTGTGTTGCTAGACTTTTAAAAGTAATGTGTGTGTTCTATAAATATTTATTGAGTGCTTATTGTTATTCAAGCACTGGAAATACATCTGTGAATGATAAAAATAAGGTCCTTGCCTCATGGAGCTTACATTCTAGTTAGTAAGACGGACAATACGTAAGAAAACACATAAAGACAGTGTGTGATGAGAACTAAGAAGGAGATGAGTAGGGGAGGGGCGGGCGCACATTCCTCACAGTCAGGAGAGAATGAACACTGGCCTGACCTGAACTGTGACCTGAAGGGTAAGAGGAGGCGGCCTTAAGTAGTGCTGGGGGTGGAGCATTCTGGGTAGAGGCAACCTGGCTTTGGGACAGAACAGGACTCCACACATATAAAGAATAAAAGAGAGGCCAGTGTGACTGAAATATCAGATAAAGGAAGAGAGGCTGGTGACATGATTTTGAAAGGATTAAGGAGAATCTGAACACAGATCCTGGGAGGTGCTGAAAGCCAGTTTGGATTTTATTCTAATTGCAGTGGGAAGCCACACACACACACACACACACACACACACACACACACACACACACACTTTCAAAGATAGGATTCTGCATCTGCTCTGAGCCATTTTGAGGATCCTGAACACAAATGGGCTGAAAAGGAAGCCAACATGATCTTATCCACAGACTTTTCAGTTATGGCAGATAATAAGTTCCTTATTATGCTCAACTATTTTCTGCCATCATTATCAGCTATTAAATAGTTCCTAGTCCTAGATATCTGGTCATATGTTTTGGCCTATTATCAGGAACTCTTCATAAAATGCTACTTAGCATACTTTATTTACTTTAAGTAAAGAAGATTTCCTTAAGTAAGTTGAAGCCTATACTCATATGTTATGTTATATAGAGGAAATAGATTTTCAAATCTCAGTCCACATATACCCCTTTATTATTAAGTTAGCAGAATTTGTGAAACGTGAACATATCTCTCTCTGAGGAACTTAGGACAGTGTGGTGTGAGATCTGTAGGCATTGGACTAACATCTTTAACATATTTTGGTGGCATTTGCATTCTCATTAAGAAATAGATGCAGTAGTTGTTTGGTTTTTTTTAAATTTTTTTATTTTAGCCGAGCCATCCTGCCACCTGTTGGCAGCTCAGCAGCTGCTCAGCTCGGGCTGGGACTCAAACCGCTGTTGCTCAGAGCTCACACTCTTGCGCATCCGGCCGGCCCTCCAGTAGTTATTTTTTGAAAGACTAGTTCAACAAAAACACTTCTGGAATTACTTGTTTTAAGAGATCACCCATAATT